CAAACAGCCCTTTCACAGGGGTCACCCAGTTCATCACAGTAGCAAAAGGACAGTGATAAAGTAGCAACGAAAATAATTTTATGGGTTGGGGGGGGGTCACCACAACATGAAGAACTGTATTAAAGGTTTGCGCCATTAGGAAGGTTGAGAACCACTGCTCTGGAGGGTCAGTGGGCTTGGGGTTGGGGTTGGGTCACTTTGTGAGCCGGACAGGGAAAGTCTTGTTGAGGGGGTGACCTGTGAGCAGAGACCGGAGTGGTGAGAAGGAAGTTGATGCAGAGAGAGCGGCAAGTGAGAAGGCTCTGGGGCCGGAACAAGTCGGAACTTTCAAGGTCAGGGAGCAGCCAGTGCGGTGGTGATACCAGGTCCCACAGGAAGGGTGGAAAGAGGTGAGGTCTGCAGGGCAGGTAGCAGCCAGATCTCGAGGGACCGTGCTGATCCTGGGAAAGAGACTGGGTTTTCGGGAAAGTCTATGCTGAAGACGAGGAAGAGAGAGTCTCTTACTCTTGTACCTGCCTGGGGAGTGAGGGTGGGAGAAAACAACAAGCAGGAATTGAAATGTGGGACGAAGACCAGAGACTTCTGGGTGCAATGCTGTCCCCTGAAAGGACCTGGCCTAACGATTGATCATTGATCTTTCTGTAAAATGACAGCCAGGAAACCCCCCTCGACAGTTCTCTTGGGTCACCTGGGCCCACCTGGATTGTAATAGGCTTCATGGCACCTGACAATAACAACTCTGTCCTCACCCTTTAAAGCAGTGGTTCTCAACCTTCCTAATGCCCCAACCCTTTAATACAGTTCCTGCAGTTGCGGTGACCCCCAACCATACAATTATTTTCGTTGCTACTGCTTAACTGTCATTTTGCTACTGTTATGCATCAGACGACTCCTGTGAAAGGTTCAACCCCCAAAGGGGTCGCGACCCACAGGTTGAGAAAGCTATTTTAAAGGCTGCCAAATGGTGGTGGCAGGGGGATTTGCTTGACCGGTTTGTGAATTGGGACCGGTGATTGGAACAGGAAGAGAGACTCCCCTCTCCGTGCAGCCTCCCTATCCCAGATGAGACTCAGCCATTAGAGGAGGCACAGAGCCCCTTGGGGTGGGGAGGACTGCACAGTATCTGAAGGGGAAAAGGAAGGGGAGAACACGTGCTCTACTGAAAGGTGGGTGGGTGGGATGTGATGGCGAGGGGCGAGCCTCCTACCTAGGCACCAGGGAGGAGTCGCCTCCACAGTGCCTTGCCACTGCTTGGCTCCTTGGTGTCAAAGGCTTGTCTAGCTTATCTGTGGTCCCAGCCCTGCACCCGGTGGGGGCCTGCTCTTTGCTAGGGCTCCGCTGCTTGCCCAGTGAATGAATGAGTGAAGGGCTATTGCTGAAGGGTAAAAAGAACAGGAAGAAATAAAGATGGAGGGGAAGCACTGGATGTCCCCAGGAGCAATGACAATTACCGGCATCTACCGATCAATACCTTGGCCCGGGCACTTTTCATTTATTAACCCATTTCACCCTCTCAGTAATCATGAGTGGTAGGTACTGTTATTATCCCCATTTTGTTGAAGAGGCAACTGAGGCACAGAGGGTCAAACGCCTCACTCAAGGTCACCCAGCTGGTGAGTGGCTGGAGTCTGATCTTCAAGCCCAAGCCATGAGCTACATCTTGGTTGTGTCCAGGAGAGAAATGAGACCTCAGTTTCTCCCTCTGCAAAACGGCAGGCGTGGGCTTGAGGTCTCTGGGCCTGCATTCTGCTGAGTCACTAGGTACAGGCTGTGGGTGAGCACCCAAGCCCTGAAAGAGGACGCCTTTGATGGCAAGGGTCGGGATGGAAAGCAATGGGTCATTGGGTCTGTTCTGTTCATTACTGTTAAGGGTGCTATGATTCATGGCAACCCACCTGTCACAGAAGAAATGACAGCCCCCCGCCCCATGCTGTCTTCCTATGGAGACCTTTGAGGCCATGGCTCTGGCTCTCATGTTCATCCATCTCATTGAGGGTCTCCTTCATACTCCCAAATATGATGTCTCTTTTCGAGAGACTCATCTTGCCTAATGATAAGTCCGAAACAAGAGAGTGCCTCCACAGGGACTGTAAATGGGCATGCACTGCTGCTTGCTGTGAATTAGGAAGATGAGGAAGGGAGCAAACAGAACCTAGTTTTTCTAGGTCTGGGATGTAAGGACCAGTGCATCCTGAACTAACCCTCCCTCCCCCAGGCCCTTCCAAGGTGTGTGTGTGTGTGTGTGTGTGTGTGTGTGTGTGTACAGCTGAGCCTGGCTCCTTCCAAGCCGGAGGCCAGAGGGCCTTAGCATGACCGTTCCCTGCCCATTTGTTTCTGGATCATTTGGCTTCCAGCTTCAGGCAGGGGCAGGGGCGCCCATCTTGGACTGTTATTTTTCAGGGTTTCACATCATTTCCAGTCCTGAAAGATTCTGCTGAAACCTTGCAGATTAGGCCAAGGTCTACCCACTGGCAAAAAAAAAAAAAATGTTTCCCAGCCTGTGGCATTTCTTCTTAGTTTTAATGCCTTCTATTGTCCACCTGCTTTAACTTTGCATTCATTCATTTGCCTAATCATGTATCTATATAAACAATTTACTGTTGTGATCAAGTTTTGACTTATCTAGACATCTAGACACTGGCCCCCCCCCCTGCCCCCCGGCAAATCTCCTATTATTTCAGAGGGGAACCAGGTACAGGGGCTAGTTCAGCTTTGGGATAGGTGGCCTAGAGGAGCACTAGAACTGATGCTGACAGATATAGGCTAGGCTTAATGCCCTCTCTGGCCTCAACTCAGCTTGTCTCCCTCAAACTGGAAAGGAGGGCTTAGGGAGAAGGGGTTTCTCTTCCTCAAAGCTGTTCCCCTCTGCCACATGGTTGGAAGTGGGGAAGGCAGGCAATAGTCCCCAGGCACTTTTTGTCCTACTGCTTGGTTTTATTTTCTTAATTTGTTTTAATGTTTTTTTATCTGTTCCTCTCCCTCCGTGCCGCAAGGCCATCTTGTTAAAACACACTTAAGATTTTATTTCTTGCACAACGGGCGGAATGAACAACTCCCTGCAAAGTGGATACCAGAGTGGGCGCAACTGCGTTCCTATGGGTCCCACAACTCCAACTTACACACCCCAAAAGAGCCCGTTCTTCAGTGGAGAGGGGGAACTAAACCGACTCTTCAGGTTCTGAACAGGTGAAAAGCCACTCACCCCACCCTCCTCTCTTCTTGTCGCCCACGCCCCCCAACCCCCAACTGCAATCTGTTGAGGGGATTGAAACCTTCTGGAACCGCCAAAGAGAGCAGCTCTCAGATGCTCCTCCGCAGGCCACGTCTCGCCGCGCGCCCCAGCCGCGCTACGCCGGGGCGGTGGGTGGGAAGAACTCGGAAGGGGAAGGTCTGGGGGTGTGAGAGAGGAGCGGAGCCCGGCCCCGCGATCCGGCCCGGGTTTTGCATACCACACACTCGCCCGCCAGGCCGCGGAGAATTCCATAATCACAGCGGGCGAGAGCGGAGACGGGGAGCGAAAAATCCGGGATCCGGCAACTTTGGGCAGCGCATGCGCGCCCGCGGCGCTCCATCCCAAACACACACACATTTTTCCCCTGGACTTGGAAAGTCACCCAAAGCCGCCCCAAGTGCAGGTAAGAGACTCGGCGCTCCCTCCGCCACGGCCCCCCCACGCTTCCTGGCTCCGCGGGCCTCAAGGGGAGCTTCCCCGCCTGCCCCCCCAGCCCCGGTGCTGTCCCCTACCCCGGGGCTGCCGCTTGCAGCAGGGAGCAGGCGAGCGGGCTAGCGAGAGCGAGCGGGCGAGTCAGCCAGCCAGCCTGCGAGCGGCGGCTGCCACCCAACTCCGGCCGTGCGGGAGGCAGGGGGCACGGAGGGCTGGCACCGGGACTTGGGGCTACTCGGCGCCCGCGGTGGCCCGGGGAATGCCCGGCGCGCGGCTCCGGGGGAGGGGAGTGCTCGCTGCTCCTTAGGGTCACTTACTCCAACTGAGGGGGCGGCGGGGTAGGGGAGAAGAGGGGGAGGTGCCAGGCGAGAGTGCAGGACTTTGCAAATAGGGTGGGGGCGCCCCCCGCGCTGGGGACTCGGAGCGGTGGGGGGGCAGGTGCTCCAATACCGGGTAATCACTCCTACCCCCACGCCCCCTCCAGCTGCAGGGGGGTCGTGCGCTCTCCAGGGCGGGGAAGGAGACAGGGTGAGGGGCATTGGGGGTGACTTTGCTAGACTTTGCCCGTGGGAAAGGGTGGGTGGGGAACCCCTCTAGCTGCCCCTGGTTCCCCGATGCTGGAGTGTAGGTGCCGCCGGCAGAGGTAGGCAGGGTTTGCGTAGGCCTGGGGTACCAAGGGGTGCCCCCGGTGGGAAAACGGAGGCAAGAGGTCCCTTGGAGGGGGGGAGCGGCGCCCCTTTTTGCCTCTGTGCTTGGGAAGTTTGTCTCCTGTGCGCTGCTTCGGGCGCGGCAAGTGGCGCTTCTCACTCTCCCCACCCCCAGCCTCCTGGGCGCTGGGCTGGCAACGTTGGGCACTGGGAGCCGGGCATGGGCTCAGCCGCGAAGCGGTCTACTGTAGCCCACTTGGGTCAGGAGGGAAAAGTTTCTGGGAGTTGCCGCGGCTGTTGTGTGCGCTGGGAGAGAAGTTGCTCCCGGGGACGTGGGACCCTGGGCTAGTGGGACCCTGGGCGGTGGGTGGAGCGGTGCGCTCCGGCTCCGGAGGGACCCACCGAGGTGGGAGAGGGCTGGCGGCAACTGTGCCCTCAGGGTGGTTGAGGGTGAGCCTAGGCGCTCAGCAGTTGGGGTGGAGGAGCCCTGACCTCAGGGGCGCAAGGCTGAACTAGGCACCCGGCGAAGGGAAGGGAGACGAGAAAAGCCCGGGGGCGCAGAGGACGCCCAAGAGTAGGTGGCTGGGCCCCCCAGTTACTTAGGAGCGGGCTTGGGGTAAAGGAGCGCGTGGTGGCTGGCGGAGGAGAGGAGGGGAGCGGGGCTCCAGGGGGCGCACGGACATGGGGGCCGGGATAGTAGGGCATTAAAAAGAGCTCTCTGGGGCAAGGGACTGAGTCGTGCGCCCGGGGTGAGCCGGCCGGGCGGAGCGGCGGCCGGTTTATTTTTACTCGGTGGCATGCGTAGAATGTGCAGCTGATGGCCGACGGCCGCCAGGAAGTTTTGCTTTCTGTTCTTTCTCTTTCCGAAGCCAGTAGGGCCGGCAGCGGGAGGGCTGGAGAGCCGGGCAGGGAGAGGGGAGGGGGCGGCCGCCGAGGTGGCCCGGCGAGGGTGAAGCCGGCCGGGGCGAGATGGGGTAGGAGAGGGGGCTGGCCAGGCGGCCGCTGGGCCGCTGTGGAGCTTTGGATACACGTCTGCCCGGGCGTTGGAAGCTCCTTGGCGAGGGGAACAGGTGTACGCGCCGTCAATCACTTCGGGAGGGACACTTTGGGGGCGTACATGCAGATAATTATAATAGATTTCTCTCCAGGGGTGACCGCAGCTTCTTCTTCCTAGTCATCCTCAACCCGGGTCCGGAGTTGGAGGAGGCGTGCGAGGGAAGTAGGGGCCCCTTTTCTCTCCACGCAAGTTCCTTCGGACCCACGCCAGCTCGGGAGCCGGGCCTGGGTGCGGCGAGGACTTCCTTCCAGCCACGCAGGAGGGTGCGGGCGTGTGTGGATGTGGGACTTGCCCACCAGTAAAGCTGAGATTGTGCCCCTCCTCCGAGTCTGGAGCTCCCCCGAGCCCTACTGGATCAAGGGGTCACTGGGGGCGTGGGGGCGCGTCGATGCCCCAGCGGAGCTGAGGGCGCGGCCCTCAGTATGGGGGCGTCCCCCCAATTCTGGTACACTGAAAGCAAGGGCTGCGGCGCGAAGGGGAAGGGGCGGGAGAGTTTCTCTGAGCAAAGTTGGTAAATTTAGGAGGTCACTAAACTGTTACCGGCGCGCGGTTAGAGCGCGCCAAGGGCCGGAAAACAAATCGCTGGTAATATCAGCGCCCCCCGCCCCCCACGAGCCCACTCCCACCGCCTTCAACCTTAAGGTGCGCGCGCGCGCGCACACACGCACTCCGGGACACACTCACACTCACTCACTCAACTCACACTCACACCGCCTTCCGAAAGGGAGCTGTCCTGGCTGAGCCGGAGCAGCTGCGCCGCCGGGTGTGTAGGGGAAGGGGGGTAGTTGGTCCCCGGGGGCTGCGCCCGGGCTGCGCTCCACGTGCCCGGAGGGGGCGCTGGGCAGTTAGGCGCCGGAGCGCCAAGCGCCAGGTTTGCGCCCGGGTGGAGGCCGGGCTGTCGGTCCCCGGCTGGCGTCGCGACCCGCGCCGTCTCCAGCTCCCGGCTCCCTCTCCCGACCCGCAGCCGCTTCCCCACTTCCCCAACTCCAGCTCTTTTCAGTGGCTTGTCCCTGGAGCTCTCCCCGGGACCGTGCGCAAGGCAGCGGGGGGAACTTCTTTCCGGTGGTCACCACCTCTCCGAATCCGGCCATTCGGAGGGAGTGCCCCCCCCCACCTTGTTAGCCACCTTTCAGGCGGTTAAGGAGAGTTTATGGAGAATAGTGTTGAACTTCAGTAATCAGGTTTCCAGCGATCTTATGCCTCCTGTTTAATTTATTAGACTAGTTATTTATTCTGTTGATGATAATCTGTTGCTGGTTTCTATGGAGATGTTAAACTGATCTCTTTCAGAAATCAAACTCCATATGCACTAAAACGTTTAAAGGGGCAGTGCCTTCCTCCCTTTTTCTTTTGTTTTTTTAGACTTTGCACCTTGCCGAGACTTCGTGTCTCTCTCCGAGTCTGGGCGCATTTTATTTCCTTCCTACGAAGGAGAGGAGCCCAGCGAGACTCACGCTTTGTGGCAAGTACAGCTTATTATGACGAGAAGAAAGCGCAGGCTTTGATCCCCAAGTTGCATCATCATTTAAAACATATCATTTCACCACCACCCCTTCCCCCCATCATATAAGAGCAAATTTCTTTCAACATCAAAGAGTCCAGTCTAAAAACACACACACAACTATTGTTTAAAAAAAATAATAATCAGTCAAATGTGAACCTCCCTTTATCTGTTCGCCTTGTGTTTAAGGAATTTTTTGAATAAGAAAAACAAAACTTGTAGCTCAGCTAATTTTTTCATACTTATTAATAGTTTATCTTACCCCCTCCTTTTTCTTTTTTTAAATTTAAATAGAAGTTCAAAGTTAGATTTCTCTGCCTGTGGGGGTTGAGGTATATTTGCCTCTCTTTGAGATCCTGGCCATCTGTTTTTGGAAAATTAGCCTCTGGGAAAAGAGGGGAAGGAGTTTTTAACTCAAACTGAATGGACTGCTTAAAAAAATTTTCAGGTGGGGGGGAGAGATAGTCACCCAAATATTTTAATGTCCTTATTTCTCTGTTGTTTGGAAGGTAGGCATCTTTGAGGTATGAGAGTCAATCAACTTTTCCTCCTCTTCTCAGGGATTTTTCTGTTGACTTCTGACTTTGAAGGGGTGGGTACAGTGAATTAAGAAAGTTACAGGAGAAAAAAAATTATCTTGTTTTCTGACACTCTGAAAAATTGCGAACCTACCCTGAACTCAGATATTTATCATGCTGACAGATAGGATACAAAGCGATTGCATTTCCTAATGATCCTTGGGGACTAAGTTGTAGGTAAAACCATTTAATGCATTTTTAATATCAAAGTAAGGCCCAGCTTCCATTTTCTGGGGGTGGGGGAGTTGGATGTCTCTATAAAGCTGGTGCTGTCTGAGCATATTGGGTTTTTTTTTTCTTTTTCAACAGAACCTCCTGCCCCCACCCCCTGCTTTCTCATTTCCATTGACTTTGGAGAGGGGTGAGCCACACACTGGGCATTTGACCGTCATAAATAAATTTATACTTGGCCAGAAGGCCTAATGCTATAAAAAAAAATCAGACTTAAAAACAAACAAATTCAGACTCCACCCCTGCTATAGGAAATAAAACGGAGGCAATACTTGACTCACCCCCCTTCCCCCAGCCTTCTTTTCCTTCTCCTGTGCTTGTTTTTTTTCTGTTTGTTTATGTTTGTTTTTTTTTTGGAAAGGGGTGGAGTGGTGGTTGCTCCCCATCTCAGAAAAGAGAGTAGACATTCCTGGCCCCCCCTGCTATATTCCCATATTTGTTTGATTTGGATGGTAAGAAGAACCGAGGCTGACATGAAAAAAAAAGAGCGCTGTGGCTTTAAACTCAGGAGTTTGCATATTCTCCTTGTATCTTTCCCCTTTGCTAATTATTGTGTTGTTTTCAGAGCAAATATGTCATATCCATGGCGACCGGGCAGGTTTATTGTCTTTCTGAAGCAATAGCTCACATAAGTAATTAATGACTTTCTTTTTTTTCCTCTGGCTTAGGTTAAACAGATCATTCAAGGAAAGTCATCGCTCGCTCTCTCTCTCTCTCTCTCTCTCTCTCTCCTTCTTGCTCTCTCTTTTTTAGCACGGTGACATAAGAACATGAGTTAGAACAAGAAAATACTTTAACCAAGAAGTCAAAAGCTTATTTCCCCCCATTTCTTTTAAAAGCTGAAGTGTCAGCTTGCAGACAGAGGAGGCTGTCAGTCTGAAGCCGTGTGTGCTGGGGGTCCACGGCTGCACTGGAAACCCATCTGAAGGTTGTGTAGGCTGAAGACAGGGGAGGTAT